AAAAATCCCTCACCTACAAGCCAGGCAATCATTTAGTGTTATTTGTGCTCGTTGGAGTTTGGTTTTCTCTCCACCCTGACAAAGTTTAACAACAGTACTCTCTCATTAGCAAGATATCAAGTTAACATAATATCCTATACTGAGAGCTTTCTTCACTGCCAACTTAGCAAGGGAAAGATATTGAACTAAGTAACTTAGCTTATCTATAAATGGGAGATGCAGTGGTCAGTGCACTGATTGAGTCAGTGTGTTGTGTTCTTGGATGAGACTCTTAAGTCTCACTGACAGTGCCTCTCTCCACCCAGGAGAGTAAATGGGTACAAGCCAGTTGTCGGGAAGCCTGATGAAATGCAGGGGGGGGGACAACTTCATGGTACATGGAAATGGGGATAAGCTCCAGCCGGGTGGGCCAATAGGCTTTAATGCAGACTATAACAGTTTTACTGCTTAAATTTGGGAACACAGATTCTAGATTTACCTCAGAAAGCTGAATGTAACTTCCATCATCTTCAATCTTGATTTTTGCCAACTATTAAAAATCATAATGGTCAATCAATGAACTCAATCCTTTAGTTTGATCCAACTTTAAAACTCAACCTCTTAAATATGCCATTGTGGCCTGGATTGACCATAGGAAAGTAACAAATGTTAATCAATGGACAAGATTATAGATACTGATAGATTATCATATTGGTTGAACCACTGCAGCAGATCGATCACTTGATTGACCTATTGCAACTGATTGAACTTTTTTCTAACTACTATAGATTCTTCCCTCAGTTAGGAATAGATACAAATAAAATGCTTAATTTTAATTATTAAGAGTGTCTTACTAACATGGGATAAATTAACACGATCTGAGAGTTTTTTTTAACCCCTTACACCCTGACATCATCATGCATATTCTCCATACTGTTCTCTATACATTCTTTTTCTTAAGCTGCTACCAAAGAGGATTTGTATAGTAATCAAGAGCTTCTTTAGTTGGAGATCATTTCCTTTTTTCTCGTGAGTTAAATGTTTCATTCAGGGAGGACATTGTAAGGAGAAATTAGATGTCAACCGCTCTTAGGGGTTAGAGGGTTAATAAATTTGTACCCGGGATTTTTTTATCAAATTATTGTATAAAAAAATAAATGGAAGAGTTAATCATACACTTACATGCCCCGGCTTTTTCTCTACTTTTACCGGCTTTATACATTCCTAAAATGAAATCGTATTTTGATAAGTCAATAGCAAAGTTTATAATATATTCATAAACAAATGGCTACTCACTTGCGATGGAGTAATGAAATCATCCAAATCTGTCAATTGAAGAGCTCCGCTAAAACCGATCGCCATTTTGTTTTCTAAAATTGATACTTCATGTCTTTTTGTCACATAGTGTACCCTTGCCACAGTCTCGCATCTGTGGAAACCCTCTTGGACTAAATAGAAAGTCTTTTCGTTTTAAATTTCAAATTACATTTTTCTTTTCCTCTCCCCGCTTTTCAACCCTTTGTATTCACGTACGGTGCGCGTGATCTCACTAATTGGCCAGTCACGTCAAACAAAACTTTAGCCTTGACAATAGATTCTTTACAGACCGTGAGAGAATCTTGCAGTTGATCTTCTTTGAGGTTGCATCAAATAAATATGCTCCATGTTCCACGAAAACCCCCTTCTTATGTTCGTCTCACAGTTCCTGGCTTCATTTCTAGAGCTTTGCACGTAGGTCTTTTCCACTTCGTTACCGAATGCCTAATATTAAGTAACCGTACAACCGATTTGCAACAAGCAAGTCAAACACAGAAGTGCATGCTATTCTTCTGTCTGATGGTCGTCTTGATGGTCGAGTTAAGGGTAGAGGTTGTACCCCTGGGACAGGAGGGGCATAGGATTCATAATAGTCTGCAACTAAATTAAAGGTAGATCCCCGAAGGTTGACGTTCATCTCCATGGTTTGAATTGAATAAGAGAATTTAACATCCAAAACACTACTTTCAAATTTAGACCAGCCTGTTTGTAAGACGTCAGCAGCATGGAACTGAGGTATGAAAGTTCGTTACACGGACGACAGTACAGAAGGTCTCAAGTTTCGGCTTCACATGTTTCTGTCGTGTTTTCTTACGCCCGTGATCAGCATTTGCTCCGACAAATAGCCTGGAAACAAGGTAGTCTCAATCATCAAGTAGACAATTACCCACACACAACGCCGTTTAGGGTGCTCGGTATGTTAGATCTAATTTTCTCCTGCTCAACTCAAATTAGGTTTGTTCGTTTTCATTCCATTAGATCTCAATAATCAATAAAGGCCACAAAATACGGTGATACAAAAATTTTATTGATCAAAGAGGAAGCGATAAGTTTTTTTTCCATTGCAAAGTCATGAACAATGTAGAAAAAACCGACACCAAGTGGATTCCAGTACTATAAATATTTTAAGCTATAGTAATCCAACGCTTACCGGTGTCTTCGCAGTCCAAACGAAGTATACTTGTACGCTATGTACAACTTATCATCACGTATAAATAATGCAAAATGATTATTTACAGACATAGATGGATAACAAAGAAAAGAGTAAGCATCATTAACAGGATGCCATAGAAAAAGACCTGTCAGTAATACATCTTAAGAGGACATCATTTAACTGGGTGAATGAAAATAGATTCAGTTTATAATTCAATATTTATTATTATAACAACCCAACATTCCGAATAAAAAGTACATTACTGAGCTCAATAATTTGCTTTCTTCACTGATTTCAATGCATGGCGTTTCTTGTTTTGAAGAAGAGCTTACATAACGGAGAAGCGAATGTCATAAAAGAACTGTACAAATAATTATATTACTCAATCAGGTATGAACAGCTACTTTGAATATTTCTGTTCCAATAATGTTCTCTCTCTATACAAACGAAATATTTCTTTATCAACGTCACGTTGTACGTTCCTAGCACAGAGACGCTTTTTACTTATCTCTAGCCTGCAAGTCTTAAAAATACTTGAGGCCGCATGTAAAACCTTAGCAAAAACAAAAACGCTCTCACAAGTTCTGAAGAAACAGTAAAACTTGTGCCATCTTCAAAGGAGTAAGATTACCAAAGAAGCCTGTGTACTTCTTCTATTGTTAGATTCTCGTAATTTCGTCTTCAAAGAGCGTCAGATTTGATAGCAAAAGATGCAGTCATCGGAATGATTACCCTGCTTTGATAAAATTTATATTATCTGCTTGGTGCCCAGAAAAAGACACCAGAGTCTTCTGACGAACCCTTTCTATGTGGAGACAATTCAAAGAGACAGGCTGCAATAGCATTAGCAGCTTCTGAGTTGGACATGGCAATAAGTGACAGTCGACTTTCGTGACGTCTTAATAAGCTGTAACGTAATAAAAAAATAATTTACTTTACTTGCGTCCGTAAAAAGACATACAGACAAAAACAGAAAGTCAAAAGGTCAGACACAGATAATAAGAGTCTACTGTACATCTATCGACAAGGCACGATATGTAAAAATTAGCGGGATGTCAATTGCCAGTTGCAATTTTTGCTGCCGCCGTTAATTTAATATCAAATTCCTCTTGACCGAGGCACTCGCTTACCCTATCTCCTAACACCTAAAGAGAAACTGGTGATTTAAGCTATAATTTGGAGAGGAGCAGTATACCAAGAACTTAACAAGACTTACCTCCTGGCTAAAGCTGAGTACTGTGCCACGTTTCTCAGAACAAGGGCTGCAGTTAACCGTACTGACTTCGTCAACGGCGATTCTTCTTCACCCTGGTGGACAAACGTTAACAATAAGGTTTAAAGGAGAGAATGAAAACGGAGAAGCAACTGAGGACATACAAGTTTACAGTTCATTACGTCTTAAAATGAGCTCTTGATTTTTTTTTCAGGTGAGAATGGTTACAAAGAATCATAAATAAAAAGACAATTCGACATTTTAAAATGACGGGTTAATCACAGATTCCTCTAATTTCCAAATTTTTACTCCGTGACGCGCCTAATTACTAAAAAGCTTTAGTAAAAAAAATTTTGAATTCGAGGCAACTAAGAATCCCCTATCGTGCAACCACCGGAATACAAGTCCTCCGAATGTGATAATCAACAAACAACTTTGCTAAAACGCTTAGACTGTAAGCTTTCAATTCCCGTTCTAGCACCTAAAATCACGGCCGTATAACTCAAATATTTCTAACCTGCAATGATTGCAACATGCGAGCTAGGAAGTGATATGCAGGAACAAATGACGTGGACGGAGTGGAAGGCGGAGGAGGCTGGGGATTAGGCTGGGGATTACGCTGAGGTTGTGGAGGAGGTTGCACAGGAGGAGACTGATGTTGAGCTGGTTGGGGCGGGAGAGAGTTGGGAGCGGGTGACGCTTCACTGTGTTTTTGCTGCGGAGACACAAAGTTAGAAGGTTAGCTGTGACAATAATTTTTGACATTGTTGCAAATGAGTAGAGGATAGAGATCTACACATTTGGCCCCAGAAAGTCCAAAATAGGCGACCTGGTTCACATTTTGGAATCAATTGATATTTCAGTAAACACAAGTGAATACAATAATCACTTCCGAGAAAAAGTGAAAAAAAAAGACATAACAACATCAGCTCTTAACAAATGACAGCAAAATCCGAAATACAGCGGGAATAACTTTTCTTTTCAACTATCACTTGTTTGAATGAATCCACGACTTGGAGACTGAAAGCGGAAAAAAACCAAATAAAAGAACCTTTTAAGATGCTTCAATTATTCTTTGTTTAAAGAGTAAAGATATTTTTTCTTACCCAGGAAAACTTACCTGAAGGTGAAATAAAAGTGACGAACGTGAGCGGCGCACTGATGGGCAACCTTCCCACATACACGACATGACCAGACTGTCACGAGGGACATGTTCACTAACCACGTGTGCAAATAACTCTTTGCTGGTGTCAAATGAGCTGTAAACAATAAAAGGGAAAACAGATCAATTTGTAATTTCTCTAGTAAAATCTGCTTTCGGTTCGTTGATATATTTCGCTTTTAAGCAACAGAAGCAGCATTGACCTGTGTCTAACTAAAGCACCCTAGCGGAACAATTACTACATTCATCCCACTTTGACGGTGTTCTTTGGCAATGAAGCAACCGTTGTTGGCGAGTTATTACAATATTGTGTATGTATTGTTTAGTGAATGCACTATCTCTGGCAATTTATGTCGCTAACAACTGAATAAGTCGATTTATTCGAGCCAACAAAACATATAACTGACCTATAGCAAGTAGTCCATCGACATCTAAAAGGTTTGAAAGACACCATCTGAGGTGCTGAAAACTCGGCTTGGCTAACATGCGCAGGAGAGGTAGGTGCAAACACCTGAGGAGCAGTCGGAGTAACTAGCAAGGATCCAACTGGGTTTTGAACAACGTTCTTCACAGCTGGTGGCATGGCAGGGTGCTGAAACTGCATGGGGCTAGTTGGTGGTCTACTTTGAGACGTAGATGTTGCCTCGTGAATCGCTGCCCCAGGTGTGGCCACACCTTGAGTCGTCACATCCGGGTGAACAGTCACAGATTTTTGCTGTTGTTGTAACTGAGGCTGCCAACCAGGTGATAAACCCAAGCTCAGAGAACCAGGAGGCACAGTAGCACCTTGGGGCACCAGGGGTGCACCAACTGGTGAGGCTACCTGAAATCCAATAGCAGCAGCAGGCTGAACCCTGCGAGCAGCATGTGGTGCTACCGGCAGTTGCTGATGTTGAACTCCACTTGGGGCCCAGCCGGGTGGCATTCCTCTGCTCGGAGCGACATTTCCACGTGGTAAGGCTGTTTGATCTGCAGCCATTTGCTGCCCTCCATGAAAAGATGGAGCCATCAAGGGTTGTTGAATACCTAATCCTTGAGAGACTGGAGCTTTGCTATTGACAATATCTGGCCCCTGAGGTCTGGGCAGTATGTTTTTCGGCGTCGTAAAAGGCTGAATGAATGAAGAATCATGAGTTACTACCATTTGCTGAGAACTCGGCTGGTTATTTTGATGTGGAAATGTAACTTTTTGTACATTGACAGACGCTGACGAAAGGCTTAAGCCTGTCTTTGACTCAAGATTCACATTGTTTGTAGAATTCCAGAGTGAATTTCCTGTAAGTGATAGCCGATTGACCGTAGCATTACACTGGCCAGGAACGGGGTCTGGTCTCACCGTTGGAGGAATAGGAATCTTGCCTTGTTGCTGCGTAGCTCCAGCAGGAATGCCTTTATCGCTGGATACAATTGCACCTTCATTACAGGTTCCGACGGGAAAATTTGGCATCTTCGATGCCGTTTGGTGAGTGCCTTCAGTACCATTCTCCATCGGATCTATCCTTAAATCTCCTTGCAGAACATCACTAAACAAGCCCGTATCTGTATCGCTCTCCTCTAAATATTT